TGAGAAGTGAAAATAAAGGGGGAGTGAGCATAAAATGCCCAGTTGGAGAACTTTTACTTGCGTTTTGATTTTATCAATTTACCGTATTAAACCTGCATGGTTAGTCGTTTTATCCCACGACAACAATAATAAATGATATTTTATATTCGCATACATATATAATCAGTTAAATAGTCAGCTTCCCCACTGTAATTAAAATCGCACTCTGATGACGATCAGTAACCCCGCAGGGCGTGTATGACAACTCAAGCGTCGTGTCGTGAGTTATCGAGTGAGAGGACTCACTGTCTTAGATCCTCACCATGATGTAACCATTGTACATTGTGTGGGGACTCACACTTCAGAGAGCACCAACGCCTCTCCCGCTGCTTCACGGTTTAGGGATCACGCCCAAGGACGGAAACGCTAGCCCTTTAAACACTCATGCGCGCACTAACGAATCTAGTTCTAAATAACCAAGCCATGCGTTTTCCAAGTTCTGTTTTTCTAAAACTGTCAAATCATTTTGGCCACGCTGTAGACTATAGGACGGGCCCACTATTTATTGATTCCAGAAATATCGTATCATAATAACAATCTATTATATACAAATTTTCTAAAATTTCCCAATTAATTAAATAAGAACTCACAAAAATTGAGTAATAGAACTCCTACCTCATAACGGGTCCCGAAGGGACTATGGGTGGTTAGGAACAACTTACGGTGATTACATGTGTTGAAAAAATAACATCGAGTGTGCAGCATAATTTTAAAATTTTTAATTAATGTCAAAGCCAACAAAGAATATGTTCATGATACTATATAACATATACATCAAAGATCCAAATCATATCTCTAGAGATTTTGAAAACCGCACATCTGACAGATCAAAACATTCTAAATAGTAATTGGAAGAGCCTCAACCAACTGATCTTCTTTGGTATTCTTGTTTTCACAATCGGAGTGCGAGTGAGCGCACGTCGTTCAATCTCCCATTGATATTTTAAACTCCTTCCAACAATAAGAGAACCATAAGAAAAATTGATCTTAAGTTTTAATCAAAAATTTTCCTCTAAAGAAACCCATACTAATAGTCCATAAAAAGTTTCTTAAGTAATTTAATGAATAATGAGACTTACTAGGCTATTTATAGGGGTTAGGAGGTCATATTCCCACAATAATTAGGTCTCCCAAAGTCAATCTCGTGTCAAAGATCTCATTAAGTTCGTTGATTCGAGTTGAGATGTGACTTTATGTAAGAGATTTTTACTGTAGCAAAAAGTTAGATGTGATTGTTTCTGAGAGCTTTTTATTGTAATAAAACTCAAATTTTAAATTCGAATCCGTGAAATGAATGGTGCCTTAAAAATCACATTCTCAAAAGTGGACATCAACCTTAAAACGAGAGTAAAAAAAAATACACATAAACTCAAACCGAGTCCAAAAAAACCTAGACACACATAAGAAAACTGCATGTGTTTTCTATATATCAGAACATCGATTAATGAAAATCTAAGGGCTTGTTCAAATGCACCCAAATTTAAAAAAAATTTAAACTCAAATTACAACTTTATTTAAGTTTATGTTCTTTTGTAAAATTTGAGTTTTAACTTGAGTTTGGGGCTAAAATCTGAGTTCAAGTTCCCCCTTTAACTCAAGTTTCTAAAGTCAAACTCAAGTTAATGAACAATATTTTTTCTATTATTAAAAGCGCCATAACTTTTTCGTTTTAATTCCGATTGAGATGATTTTTTTTTCTATGCGTTCACAACGAAAAGACGAATAAAATCCAACCCATATACCCTATTAAAATTTTCCATCACTATTGAGTTTTTATTAAAATACTATTCAAATACAAATTTAAGTTTTGACCCACCTAAACACAAACTAAAATATATTCTCAATTCAAACCATAACTCATAATGTGTACATCCAAACACAAACTCAAATAAGAATTTCAACTCAAATTATACTCAAATGGCCATGAGTTCACTAAAAAATGAGGTCAAATTAAAAATGACATGGCCTACGATCTACTGGGTTGTTCTTTTGCATTTTTCAGTTAAGGTAACTTGAGTGATGATCTTGAGTTGAGTTTGAATTATAATTTGAGTTAAAGTTGTAACTTGAGTTTGTGTTTGGATGTGTACATTTGAGTTATGATTGGAATTGAGAATCTTTTTGAGTTTGTGTTTGGGTGGATCAAAACTTAAATTTGTAATTATATAGTATTTTAATAAAAATTCAATGGTGATGAAAAATTTTAATAGAGTATATGTGTGGGGTTTTATTCGTCTTTTCATTGTGAATGCATAGAAAAAAATAATCTCAATTAGAAAAAATAAAAAAGTTATGATATTTTTAAGAATAGAAAAAAATATTATTCATTAACTTGAGTTCGAGTTTATGAACTTGAGTTGAATGAAAAACTTGAACTCGAGTTTAACCCCAAACTCGAGTTTAGCCCCAAACTCGAGTTTAGCCCCAAACTTGAGTTCAAACTCAAATATTTAAAAAAAAAAAAACATGAACATGAACAAAGTTGTAACTCGAGTTCAAACTTTTTAGGGCTTGCTCGGTTGCATTTTTGAGTTATGGTGACTTGAGTGTAGATCTTGAGTTGAATTTGAGTTATAATTTGAGTTGAAGTTATAACTTGAGTTTGTGTTTAAATTGATCAAAACTTGAATTTGTATTTAAATAGTATTTTAATAAAAACTCAATGAGAATGAAAAATTTTAATAAGGTATATGAGTGATGTTTTATTCGTCTCTTCGTTATGAATGTATAGAAAAAAATCATTTCAATCAGAATTAAAACAAAAAATTTATGACGTTTTTAAAAATAGAAAAAATATTATACATTAACTTGAGTTTGAATTTAAGAACTTGAGTTAAAAAAGAAACTTGAACTCAAATTTTAATCTAAATTAAAATTAAAACTCAAGTTAAAATTAAAATTTAAACTCAAATTTTATAAAAGAATATGAATTTAAATAAAGTTATAATTTAAGTCAAATTTTTTTTTTTTGAATTTTAATCGAAGGAACCGTTTCGTTGCAAAAGAAACAAAACCCAGGAAACCCTGTTGCTCATTGCCTCAATTTTCGCCGCCAAACTCTTAACCATAGACTCGCAACAATCCACCCTTCGAGCATCTCCTCCGTAGCGCTTTTTCATTCTAAACCCTAGATCTCTCTCCCCACTACTGTTATTTCTCTACCTTCCCTCATTGCGATTTTCCTTCTCTGATGTCAGATCCAAGGACGGTGGCAATGGAGACGAGGTAGTTCGTGAAGGCATCTAGACGGAGTTTGGCCGTAGAAGAAATAGTGCACAACGACGCTTGGATAGAGTTCAGCCAAAAAAGAAGTAGTTCACGATAGAGACAACGGCAACGGTGAACTCCACAGCGACAGAGAGCAAATAGAGAGAGCCAAGAGAGAGAGAGAGAGAGAGAGGTCATGGAGAGAGAGACGGGGAAATATTGAGAGAAAATAATAAAAAATTAAAGGGTATGAAATTTTTTCAATGGCATAAATAATAGGATTTTTAAAAAAAAGAGTGATTATTGATGTAATTCCCTCATGTTTTAATGTTCAAAATAATGACCCATTTTGCGTCAATCTGATGGCTCAAGAATTACTTCCGCTCCAAAATCATACAAAGTTAGTAGTTGAAAACTATATAAAAAGGGAGCTCGCAGGGTGCAACCCTCATTTTTGCTCTACCGTTGGAGCATTGTATTTTTAATTTTGAATTAATTGTTTAACAGTTAAATTTATATAAGTTCATATTAAAAATTTAAAATGCACCGTACAAAACTAATCTTATTACAGATATGATCGTCAAAAAATTAATTTAACGATAAAAATATACTCGACTTATAGAGTAAAAATTAAGATTGCACCGTAAAAACCCATTAAAAGAATATCATTATGAAAATAATATAAGGATATTTTGAATTAACTATATAAAAACATCGTTATTTTTTTCTTTTTTTTCATAATAATCAATACCATTAGTCTTTAAAACTATATAAAAACAACATCATTATTTTTTTTTTCATAATGATCAATGCCATTAGTATTTTCCCATTGTTATTATTGCTTGTATCGGATGAGATTATCTTATAATCTTTCCAAAGTAGTTGATATGCATATATATATATATATATATATATACACACATATCAAAAAAGAAAATAAATTAATTATTTTATACTTGAAAATGGGAGAATTGGAACTAAACTTCAATATTAAGTTAAGTGCAGATTTATACTACGTTATTCTTAAACCACCTCAATGCAAATGCTAATACTAATTGTATATTTGACATTAAAATGTGTTATAACACATATTATTTTTATTTATGCTTCAATGCATAATAATATTTAAAGTGTTAAATCTATTTTTTTTATAATCATTAAGTTTTAAAAGTTATACTCATTAAAATTTTAATTTTAAAATAATTTTAATAAGAAAAAGTTGTAATGATTGAATGAAAAACAATCATATCAACCAATAGGAATTAAGTGTCACATTTGTCATATGTTATACTTGATTAGAAATTTATCACAAAATATAACATGCGAGTTACGACAAATTTTACCATAATAAATAACATTACGTTAGGGAGTATTTTTTTCACTCAATTTACAATTGACACATCAATTATAACATTGTATTAGAGATGCTTTTACTATTACTGTAAGTAAGGACTCGTTTGTTTTATATACTCAAACTCAAATCATTGATTATGTTACAATATTTTTTTTCTCAAAAATTTAAATTTGAAACGTCAGAATTAAGAATTATGGTTTGAGTATACTTTTTAAATGAGCCTTAAATTACTTGAAGTAATTTGACATTTACTTTCGAGGAAAATTGATTTGGGCAAAAAAAACCCTAATCTAGTTCAGACAAAAATTGCGATTCTGCCACTGTCTCGGTGACTCTCTCGCTCCCTACTCATATAAATATCATTAGCCGCGTCTCCATTTTCTGCTTTGAAGCGGGAAAATCCCACTCAGACCCAACGCAAAATCAGAAGACAAAAAGCTCAGACTCTGTGAGAGGGTGGTTTTTCCTCTCTCCTCCACCGTAGCCGCTTAGGGTTTCTATCCCGATCGGTTGGCCATAATGGCGAATCTTGACGGCGGTTCTGATCAGGACCAGCAATGGCTGCTCAATTGCTTGTCCGCCACTCTCGACCCCAGCCACGAGGTTCGCTCTTTCGCCGAAGCTTCGCTTAATCAGGCCTCACTTCAACCAGGTTTCGCAACTCAAAATCTATATTCCTCTGTGCATTCATCATTCTCTTTGTGCGGTTACTTCCAAAAATTTGTTTATTTACTAGTTCATTTCTGTTTAGACTTTAGATTTAGCGATCTGTTTGAACCCGGAGGTTTTATTTTTAGTTTTTTTTTTTTTTTAAGCTTAAGCAAGTGTACACGGAAGTATATGGAAATTAAGGTTTTTTTTTTTAAATTTATTTTTTTTTTTTTTTTAAGCTTAAGCAAGTGTACACGGAAGTATATGGAAATTAAGGTTTTTTTTTTTAAATTTATTTTGTTATTGTTGTTCAGGTTTTGGAAGTGCACTTGCGAAGGTTGCCGCAAACAGAGAGCTTCCGTTGGGATTGCGTCAGATATCCTTTTCTTAATTCTGTCTGTTGAATTAGCATTTTTGTTAATGCAGTATGATTATATTTTTCTTCTTTACGTCTGTTTCATTATTTGAAGAAATAATCAATGTATGACTGGCGCTCAAGGTTTGTAATGTATGTGGTTTTCTTTTAAGTAGTTGGACTTTGGAGTAGCTAGGAGTTCCCTTGGGGGGATAATCTTTTAAAGTTTGATTTTTCTGAGCCTGTGCTTACTAAACGTAAATGTTGATGATTGTAAGATAGCCTATCGTTAAAGGGAGGGGTGGAAGACTTAATTATGTTTGCTCAATGTATTCTGTCTTCTATTCGTTTCCTATCCTTATTCCGCCTTCCTTGTGCGATTGTAAGATTTTATGGGAAAGAGCAGGGATGCAAATATTACTTGCTTTTTAGGATGTTCTGTGCCAAGAAAAAGCCAAAAGGAGTTCAGTACTGGGTGAACTTACAGGAAATTGGCGTTTCTGATAGATGATATGGAGAACTCTTTTTAGTACAGGATTGTGTACAGTGTAATGTCGTCAGAAGAAAGTATAGCTTTCAAGCAAGTGGCCACGTTCACATATGGTGACTATGCTCCTGCAGTGGGTAGTGTTTTATTTCTTTGGGTTATCAAGTCTCTGAGTCATATAGGTTTGGTGTCGGGAAATGGGGCCTTAATATGATGTCGGGAAGATGTCTGAAGTGTCGGCTTCGTATGTATCTTTCTTTTCCAAGGATTTTTTTTTTTAATTTAAATTTCGTATATACATTTCATTATTTCCCTGGATTCTTCTTTGAGCCAGAATGTTCATTGGATAAGAACTCCATTTCTTTTATAACTAGAAATGTAGAGGGGCTTTAGAACTTGGCTCTTTGTAATCTTTGCTTGATACATCTGATAAAAACAGCTTAAAACTTCTTCTGTTTTCTCCCACTTTGCTTAGATTCTTCTTAAAGGAGACCTAGGGAATGATATTCTCCTCCCTCTATTTTCCCTCACTCATTTAGAATGGAAAGATTGGAACCTATTTGCATTTTTTCTCCATCTTGTTAGATTTAACACTATTTACCTAGCTGCTGTCCTTCTTAAGCAGTTTATTAAGAAACATTGGCAGGGGGGTGAGGAATCGTTTGAACATCCTGTTGTTTCCAGTGATGAGAAGGTACATGTCCTCGAGTATATTTCTTCCCCTTATGTTTATCTTCTACAATTTCGTTAATAGCATGTTTATTGTTCTCTGTTGTTTTTGAGTTAGAGATTTATTTAGTTGACATCTAGTTTTGGTTTTTGCTCAATGGAACGTAGTATTCTACATACTACATGTAGAGAACTGGATATTTGATCATTTCGATTCTTTGTTAGGGCAAGTGGATCTTTTGACATAATTTTGAATGCACTTAAGAATCAACTAATGTCACGTATGTACAAAGGACTTCTTTAACTGCAAGGAAATAGGAAAATGATTTAACTCTGTTCATAGTCAAGTATGAAGATCACGATCTCTAGGAACCTTGGTTTGTTATATGGAATTGCTTCAACATATTTTTATAACAATGATGAAGTCTTTTTGAACCAAAAAAGTTCAAGTCTGAATTAAGTTTTTATTCTTAAAAGGATTGTTTCTGTTTAACAGACATTGGAAAATTAATGATCTTTTGAACCTTATCTTTAACTTAAAGGGATAATGATATAGAGGCAATAGAAGGCGGGCCTTGGCACCATGGTGGGAGCGCTTGCGTTTGCACCCAGGGTCCAAGGTTCGAATCCTGGAAACGGCCTCTCTTTTGGGGGGGTAAGGCCGCGTACATATGGGATTGAGCTTTCCCCCGAGCCTGTCATAGTACGGGAGCCTCTTTGGCACTGAGGTCTGCCTTTTTTTTTTTTTTTAAAGTAGCTGAATTTTGTAAAATTAGTGAAATGATTGTTTTTTATAAACTTAGCGCTTAATCACTGATTAACTTAATAATCAATCACTGATTGACTTAAGTTCATTAATGATTGACTCGATGATTTTTTTTTTTGTTTTCTTAATAGGAAATTCTTCCTCTTTGTTTTCTTTTTCGTCTTTCTTTAATAAAATTTTTCCTTGTTTCTTTTCAAAAAAAAAAAAGAAAAAAACCTAAATTAATTAGTAATTAATCAATTTCAATCAACAAATTATATGTTTATTAATGGTAAATCATTGGTAAACTATAATAATGAATCTGTCAATCACTGATTGACTATTGGAAAAAACGGCCATTTTGCTAAAATAGAAAAAGTTTGACCGTTTGTTTAAAAAATAAAAAGTTCTGCCATATATTAAAAAAGATGTCAAAAAACGGCCATTTACCTGATTTTCTCTAACTTTTAAATTGGATAAAAGAGACAGCAAAGCCAATTATTACAAGTTGGTTGAGACACCTATGTGTGGATACTTCAATTGCAAGATTTACTCAAGTCTAGCATTGTTGGTATTTTTTGTTTCAAGCTTGACAGTTCATTCCACTATTTATTATATTACTAGTTTTCTTTAGAAGTCATCATTGAAAATAAGTTATTCCTGGGGTTTAATGCAACATTTAATCCTGTAACCTGTTGTTTCGTTTTACACCGTTTTGGCTTAAATTTCTGAGAGCTACCTACTTGGTGTATAACTATAGAGTTTCACTGTATGATTTGGCAGAGTTCCCAGCTCCAATTTGAAGCTCTCTAAGTGGGTGTCCTTTTTTTTTTTTTTTTCCTCCCACAGTTTTTGGATTTATGATTATTGATTAATAGCAATTATACCAGATTTTAGTATACGAGTTCTGTATATGATCACTTTCAAAAAAAAAAAAAAAAAAGTTCTGTATATGATTTTTTGGTGTAGACCTTTTGTCTTAACATATTTAATTGGGTGGCTATTAGGCAGTTATTCGCAGACTGCTATTGGTTTCACTGGATGACTCCTATAGGAAAATGTGCACAGCTATTAGTATGGCAATTGCAGCAGTTGCAGTTAATGATTGGCCGGAAGAGTGGCCTGAGTTGTTGCCATGTCTCTTGAAGTTAATTAATGATCAGACTAATATGAATGGAGGTCAGTTGCAATCATATTGATATTAGCCTCAATATCTTATGGTTGATGTTAACAACATGTATGCTAAACTTATTATAAAAAATATCCGGAGGTCAAATTTTTTGTTTTTATCTAAAAGTAATCAATGTCTATTGTGGAGAAAAAAGGATACTAGTGATGTCTATTAGATTATACTTGCCCAAAAAATATTGAAGTAACGAGTAACAAACAAAAGAATTGGAAATTGTTGTAATGAGTAACAAACAAAAGAATTGGAAATTATTGATCGTGTTTGTTGTCTGAAGCTTTTTGACTTGGTAGTTTTGCTCATAAGCTCACAATGTTATGCTCTCTTTACAATTATCGATGGGTCCGATATTCGCTATATTTACCGACTTGTTTCTACGTTCTATTACGCTCTATTTTTTTAACTAGTAATAACCGAAAGGAATGAGAAAAAAAAAAGGATATGAGAACGACTCAAGTGCATTGGAAGTATATGAGGAACCCTCCTCGAAACTTTACAAGCTGAAATTGAAAAAATAAAAATTTGATTTTGAAATACAGGAATGTTACTCCACGAAGCCAAAGACAACGTAGTGTACAGCTGGACTAGAAAGAGTTTATTGATGAGGAAGGATAAAAAGATTTCTTTGCCTGTTTTAAAAAAAAATTAAAAATTTCTTTTCACAAATTTACATATGTCGACAGAAAATAAAAAGCATCGGTCTGTCTACCACTACCATGACACATGCAAGACAAACTTTCCTGATGTCCTTTATAATCTGGCTATGGACTCTAGTATAGGCATCCATCCGGCCTTTTACATTGCTTGTGTATTACAAATATTTATTTGTTATCTTCTTTTATATTTGCAAGTTTACGAGTCTTACATCTGAAACATGCACAATTTTCTAACAAACTGCACAGTACATGGAGCTTTGAGGTGCTTGGCTCTTCTGTCTGGAGACTTGGATGATAAAGTGGTGCCCACATTAGTACCTGTTTTGTTCCCGTGCTTGCTTACTATTGTATCATCGACTCAGGTCTGTTTTTGTTTTTATACTTTGTATAAACGAATATGGAGAAGAAAATAATATGTTTTTCATATATTGTTAGGTTTACAATGTACACTTAAATACTAGTTACAGAGAAATGCTATTCTAGGAAAAACTAATAAATATGGAATGTTAATAGCTGTACAGACTCAATCCTAATTGCTAGTTTCCTAATCTTCTTCAATCAAGCTCCTTGACCTAATCTTCTATGATCAACCTAATTATCCCTAATATTCGGTATAATTGATACCGAATAATCCCTTTTTCAACACTCGCCCTCAAGTTGGCTTGTAGATGTCTTCCATAGCTAGCTTGCTTACTAGGAATTCAAATTGTCTCATCTGTAGTCCTTTAGTAAGTATATCAGCTGTCTGTTGAATGGTTGGTACATATGAAATGCAGATTAGGCCACTCTCAATTTTTTCTTTGATGAAGTGCTTGTCAACTTATGTGCTTTGTTCTGTCATGTAGAACTGGATTGTGAGCTATTGAACTGGCAGCCTTGTTGTCACAATACACCTTTATGGGAAAAAGAACCGAGATCTTCAAATCCTCAAATAGCCTTTTGATCCATATTACCTCACAAATCCCGTGTGCTAGAGATTTGAATTCAGCCTCGGCGTTGCTTCTTGCTACTACACTTTGCTTTTTACTCCTCCAGGTAACTAGGTTTCCTCCAACAAAAGTGCAGTATCCTGAAGTTGATCGTCTATCAGTCGTGCTTCCTGCCCAATCCACATCTGTATAGACTTCAACTTGTAGATTATCACTCTTTTTGAACCTTAATCCTCTACCAGGAGTTCCTTTTAAAAACCTCAAAATCCTGTAGGCTGTATCAAAATGCTCTTGTCCCGGTGAATGCATGAATTGACTCACCATGCTTACGGCGAAGGCTATGTCAGGACGAGTATGTGATAAGTAGATTAATCTACCTACCAATCGCTGAAATTTCTCTCTATCAATCACATCTTCTGGTTTTGCTGGAGTAAGTTTCAAGTCGGCTTCGATTGGAGTTTCATCAGTTTTGCATCCTAGAAGGCCTGTTTCACTGAGTAAATCAAGAATATACTTTCTTTGATTTACAACAATTCTTGCTTTCGATCTTGTAAATTCCATACCAAGGAAGTATTTTAGAGTTCCTAGGTCTTTGATCTCGAAGTCTTTTGCCATTTTTTTTCTTTAGTCTGGTCATTTCTTCAAAGTCATCACCTGTTAAAATTATGTCATCCACATAAACAATTAGAATTGTAAATTTTTCACCTTTTGAGTGTTTGTAGAACATGGTATGGTCTGTTTGGCTTTGGTGATAGCCATGGTTTTTTACAGCCTTTCCAAAGCGTTCAAACCAGGCCCTTGGAGACTGTTTAAGACCATATAAGGACTTCTTGAGTCTGCAGACTTTGTCTTGGCCAAAAAACTTTTCAAATCCAAGAGGTAGACTCATAAACACCTCTTCTTCCAAATTGCCATTAAGAAAGGCATTCTTCATGTCTAATTGGTATAACGGCCAGTCGGAATTCACTGCAAGAGACAACAACACACGTATAGAATTAATCTTGGCTACAGGGGCAAACGTTTCTTGGTAATCAATACCATAAGTTTGAGTGAACCCTTTAACCACAAGTCTCGCCTTGTATCTCTCTACACTTCCATCGGCCTTGCATTTTACAGTAAATACCCATTTACAACCGATTGTTTTTTTGCCTCTTGGTAAATCCTCAATCATCCAAGTTCCACTTTTCTTCAGAGCATGCATCTCTTCCATCACTGCTGATTTCCAATTAGGATTATCAAGTGCTTCCTGGATGTTTCTCGGGACAAACAAGTAAGAGATTCTAGTGTATAGGCCTTATGTTTAGGAGAAAGTCTGTCATAGGACAAATATTTGGCTATTGGATAATTAGTGCAAGAACGTTTTCCTTTTCTAAAGGCTATAGGAATATCAAGATCATAAGGCTCTTGTATGAGAGACTCATTAGGAATAGTCACATTAGTTGACTCTAAGGAAGTATTATTATGTAAAAGAGTGTCTAGAGTACCTGGAGTGTTTATAGGTTCATTACTCGGAGTCTCAGATTGAGCTTGCACCAAGGGAATAGTAGGCTCTTTACTGTTTTTCTGATTCTTCCTCCTTGAGTAAACCTGAAGCTCTAAGTTACTCTTCTTAGGAATAGTTGGTAGTATTTCTCCCCTTGTCGAAGTATCAACCATGCTCGGCATAATAGATTTAGGAGCATTATTATCATGAATAATTGGAAGAACAATATCCTTATCATTAGGTGGTGTATCCACAATTTTAGGTAAAGAAGTAGAAATAGGAATAACATCCCAAAAATTTTCTTCTTCAATAGTTTCTCCCCCTGAAGGAAATTTTTTTTGAAAGTAAGGTTGATGTTCAAGAAAGGAAACATCCATAGTAACAAAAATTTTCCGAGTTATGGGATTAAAACATTTACCCCTTTTTGTTTGGAGCATAGCCTATAAACACGCATTTTTCAGCCCTTGGATCAAGTCTAGACCGCCCTTACTAGATAAATGAACATAAGCGGTACAGCCAAAAATTTTAAGGGGCAGATCCGATGAAATACGAATAGAGGAAAATTTTTTTTTTCAGACTTTTAAGAGTACTATAGTTTAAAACTCGAGTAGGCATCTTGTTAATTAGGTAAGCTGCTGTTAGAACTGCATCACCCCAAAGATATTTAGGAATATTCATTGAAAACATAATGGCACGAGAGACTTCAAGTAAATGTTTATTTTTTCGCTCATCAATACCATTTTGCTGAGGTGTGTCAACACAAGTGGATTGGTGATGAATCCCTTTTTCTCTTAAAAAACTTCCAAGGATTTCATTAAAATATTCGGTGCCATTATCAGTGTGTAAAATTCCTATTTTAGTTTGAAATTGAGTTTCAATCATTGTATAAAATTTTTTGAACAAATTCTCAACCTCGGATTTTTCACTCACTAAATAGATCCAACATAAATGAGTATGATCATCAATAAAAGTTACAAACCATTTTCTACTGGAGAGAGTTTTGATCCTTGAAGGACCCCAAACATCACTATGAATTAAATAGAATGGTTTTGAAGATTGATAAGGTTTTGAAGAAAAAGTAGTTCTCTGACTTTTTGATAAGATGCAATTCTCACAATAAAGTTTTGAATAATCCACACCACGAAATAACATAGGAAATAATGTTTTTAGATAGGGAAAACTAGGATGTCCTAGTGTATAGTGCCAAAGCATTATTTGATCCTTAACAGGAATAGAACTAATACTACTTAAGCCTTGAGTTTTTTTATTCTTAGAGTCTCCATCTTCTAAATAGTAAAGGCCATCTATCACCTTAGCACTCCCAATCGTCTTCCTCGAGTTCCTCTCCTGAAACGCACAATGATATTCAAAAAAGGAGAGATGACAATTAGAATCCTTAGACAATTTGCTCATTGATAGAAGGTTGCAAGCAAGTTTAGGTACATGAAGAACAGTTTTGAGTGATAAGGTATTAGATAATTTTATCAAACCTTTACCGGCAATGGGAGAAAAAGATCCATCTGCTATACGAATTTTTTCATGGTTAGAACAAGGAGTATAAGTATGAAACAAATGGGAAAAACTTGCCTTATGGTCAGAGGCTCCTGAATCTATTATCCAAGGAGTAGAATGTGAAAAACAGGATAAGGCAACCGATTCTCTACCTGATTGAGCAAGAGAAGCACTAGGAGTACCCGATAATCCTGAGTTAGATTTCAGCAGCTTAAGGATATGATCAACCTGCTCCTTGCTAAAGGGAACAACCGCGGCTTCATGTGCAGCAGGCGAGGAATTGAATATGCCTTCATGTTTGCCTTTCCAGTTTGCTGGTTTCCGTGAAGCTTCTAGCACGTTTCATGCGTATGGTGTGGCTTGTTGCAGTGATCACACCACACACGCGGTTTCTCTTCAGATTTTCGAGGGTTGAAATGGCCAGCATGTGCCTCAGCAGTGACAAGGGTAGAGTTCTCAACATTATGGCTTGGTATTTTCTTACCAAGCATGACAAGTCTACGACTTTCCTCTCTACGAACCTCAGAAAAAACTTCTCCAAGGGATGGAAGGGGCTGTCTGCCGATTATTCTCCCTCTAACCTCATCAAACTCAACATTGAGTCCAATAAGGAATTTGAAAATACGATTATCCTCCACAGTTTTCTTATAATGATTGCAGTCCTCAGGAGATTTCCACTCATAATCACTGAAAAGGTCTAGATCCTGCCACAAAAGTTTCAGAGAATTAAAATATTTTGTGACACTTCCCTCACCTTGGCGGATTTCTCCGAGTTTTAGTGTTAATTCAAACACTTGGGACTGATTTCCCAAGTCTGAGTACATTTGATTGATATTGTCCCAAAGCTCCTTAGCAGTGTGGTAACACATGTAGTTGGAGCTAATTTCTTCCTCCATTGAATTCACCAACCACGTCATCACCATGGAGTTTTCAGCATCCCAAGTTGGATGAGAAGGATCTTCCTGGGTGGGTTCCTTCTTTTCTCTTGTCAAGTAGCCAATCTTCCCTCTCCTGCGGATGTACATGCGCACAGACTGAGACCAGCGCATGAAATTCTCTCCATTCAATCGTATTGTAGTGATTTGGACAGAATGGGAATCATGGGCAGAAACATGTGGCCTGGACGGATCAGTTTCAGTGGTTTTTTACTGGTTCACAGAGGTGTTTGTGGACTTTGACATAGTTTCAGACATTATGGAAGAATGGTTGGGACGGCTAGGGTTCAAAAGACTTCTAGGGTTGTAAGAGGACGGCTAGGGTTCAAAGAATTAAAGGGATCAATCACTCTGATACCATATAAACGAATATGGAGAAGAAAATAATATGTTTTTCATATATTGTTAGGTTTACAATGTACACTTAAATACTAGTTACAGAGAAATGCTATTCTAGGAAAAACTAATAAATATGGAATGTTAATAGCTGTACAGAATCAATCCTAATTGCTAGTTTCCTAATCTTCTTCAATCAAGCTCCTTGACTTAATCTTCTATGATCAGCCTAATTATCCCTAATATTCGGTATAATTGATACCGAATATCTCCTTCAACACTTTGCGTTCCTTTTGTTAGCTGTCAGCCCGTCGTTAGATTTTTTGTTAGCAATATCTGTGCATGTGTTTTATTTATTTATGCTTTGTTGTCTGTGCAGGTGTATGACAAATATTTACGGGCAAAAGCACTTTCGATTGTTTATTCTTGCACCTCCATGCTGGGAGTAATGAGTGGTGTTTATACGGTATTTTCTTGTCACTTGTTTTCTATTTTCCAGGGGAGTGAAGTTTGTGGATTGAACTTGTTCTATCATGAATTAACAGCTTGCGATGTTTATGTTCAGAAGGAAACCAGTGAATTAATAGTACCCATGCTTAAACCATGGATGGATCAGTTCTCTATCATCCTAAATCATTCAGTCCAACCTGAAGATCCTGATGATTGGAGCATTAGAATGGAGGTCGGGTTGTTGTTTTTATCGAAGTCTTCATGACCTGTAACATGATGAATATAAGCATTGAACTTGTAGTTTTTATATCGGTATATCTCCAGGTTTTAAAGTGCTTGAATCAGTTTGTTCAGAATTTCCCTAGCCTTACAAGAAGTGAATTTATGAGTATGTTTCTCACTCCATATCTCACCAAGGATGAGTTTGTATTCCACTTATTTTTTTCTTGTCTTCTTAAGAATTCAAGTTTTCAGGCCCTAACAACCCTGTTTCTTGCAGCAATTGTGGGACCATTGTGGCAAACTTTTGTAACAACTCTTAGAGTGAGGTCATCCATTGAAGTTACAGATCTATACGAGGGAAGATATGATTCAGATGGTTCAGAGAAAAGCTTCGACTCCTTTATTATCCAGGTAATTACACTTATGCATGCACGAATGCTTAATGTATTATGTGATTTAAAACAATAACTTCCACTGGTTTCAGGATATGAAAAATAGGAAATGATCATAACGGTTCCACTTGATGCAAAAGTTTACTTTTCATTTTTTTTTGTGTGATGTTAATCTATTGCTAGTTATAGTCAAAAATTGGCCAACTGAAGATCATAGTTCCTTATGCTATATTGGAGGTTCCTGGACTGTTTTCCCTGTTTTTATACACCATTTGGGTTGTCTTGTTGTAGAATAGAGCTTTTTTGTATTTGGTATCGGTTCTCTTTCTAGAGCTTCTTTATATGTATGTGTGTGTGTGTATATATATATATATATATATATTAGAGAGAGAGAGAGAGAGAGAGGTATAAGTATATACACTTTTGTCAATTTTGTAATTGATTTGTTTTATACGTGTGTTTTATACCTGCAGTTATTTGAGTTTTTGTTGACCATTGTGGGTAGTGCAAAATTTGCACAGGTAAACTCAACATATACAGAGTCTACTCCATTTCGTATGATTTCTTTCTCCATGTCCTACTTCAACTGTATTGAAATTTTGCTCGTGTAGGTTGTTATGAGCAATATTAAAGAGTTGGTGTACTATACTATTGCTTTCCTGCAGATAACCGAACAACAGGTAGTTTATCGTTTGTTTTTCTTCTTTTTCCTTTCTCTTTTGTTGACACGTGACATGCAAAGACATGTAAGAGCAGGCTCAGCGACAGTTGTTTAATTTTTGGGTTCAAATTCCAATTTTACAACTTCTAGTTCTTCGTATCAACCATTAAAAAACTACCCACTGTGATGGTCCTCCCAAATCATTTGACACAAATTATTATCTTTTATCTTTGCATGCCTTATTGTTTATTTTCCTTTTTTCATATTGTTTAGGTTTGTTTCTTCAGACATTATCAATCTATTATGTACTTGTATAAAATGGCTGCCATTAATAATATAAACACAATGGCATGTTATAATCGTAAATGCACCACCAGTATTATTCTAATACTAATTTGTACTTTAGGCTTTAACTACATCATAACTTATTGTATTACCATCTCGACTTGGTTTTCTTGAAAACTTTTGGACCTGTGGCTTCTGAAGGTTCCTTGCATTATGGGCTCCTTATGATAAATGATTTAGAAGGAACTCCTTCATTTTATTCTTCTTGATAATTTCGACTGCCAGGCTCATTTGTTTTTTTCTTTCTTAATTATTAACATTCACCAGGTTCATACGTGGTTAATGGATGCAAACCAATTTGTTGCTGATGAGGATGATGCCACTTATAGCTCCCGCGTTTCTGGTGAGTCTTACAATTATATAGTTCCGTCGTTCGTTTCACTTTTAGACCTGTGTGTTTGTCTTATTACGAGACAATAATTTTTGCTTATGGATCTGTGCTTTGTTTTGATATATTGTTCTGTTTCTTCTGTGGTCTTATTTCTTTTAGTAATACTTCATGGTTGCTACTTAGCATTATGGTATAACGGGTTGGTTTGCAATAATTTTTGTGACCAGTTTCTTAATCTGTATTACTTTGTTGTATTTTGTGCATACAATGCTAAATTTTTTTGCCAGAGTTTAGTTGGTTACTGTCCTAAGAGTTCTTTCTTTTCTTTTCTTTATTTATTTATTTTCTTTGGTATGGGATGCCCCCCGGGTAGAAATATTATTAAGAAGGAAAAGAACGATAGGTGACACAAATGAACCACCAGAACAAAAAAAAAAAAAAACAAAAAAAAAAAATCTATGTAACGGCATCTAAAGACATTTCCATTAACTGGATGGTGAGAGAAATTGGAACTGACGACCACTGAATCTTATCCTAGAGAAGCTAACTTAAGTGCATGATATAGCTTCACTATGCACATGGGCAAATAAAAAAGGCATCCCCTTTGAAATAGCAAGTCTTTATATTTCTATTTGATTGGATTTAAATCTTGAAATTTCTAGGTGCCTGTTTTAAGCGTCCTACTAGGATTTTTTTATTTATGATATTTTCATATATATACATATACATATATATATTTTGGAACCAAGTACCGTCTATAGTTGAATTTCATTTTTTCAGACTAGATAAGCGTCAACTGCTTCACTCTTTACATGAGATTTTCTTTGACAGGTGCACTTTTGCTGGAAGAAGTGGCGACTGTGGCTGGAATAGAGGGAATTAATGCTATTGTAGATGCTGCCAAAGAACGATTTATTGAGTCTCAAAGCGAAAAGGCGGCAGGTTCTGCATTTTGGTGGAGAGTAAGTAGAGTATTATTTTCTTTGAGAAATAATTTTAGGTATATTCACACCTTCTCAGCAAATGATTAGCACGTTCCTTCAGTAACCCCTCCAACTCCCCTCTGTTTTGTGATGCTTCTGATCTACTGGGAGAATTTTATTTGGCTTCCTTAATGAACTGTCTCAAATTTTTACGTACAATTTCATAGGAATTTACAATGGTTTTCCCCCTGTTTTTGTTTGTTTAAGTTCCTGTGACTTACTTTTTAACCCCTCTTTTGCATGACATACTTTTGCAGCTAAGGGAGGCTACTTTATTTGCTTTGGCTTCTGTCTCAGAACAACTGCTTGAAGCAGAGGTGTTTGGCACCTACCATTTTTGTTTGTTTAAGTTCTTTCTATTTTTAATATATTTCCTGCAAATTGTTGGATGATAAATGCAGCACTTTCTCATCCTTTTCTCAACATCTTTTTAGCCGTTTTTGAGATCTGTACACTTGATAAATATCAATTGTTCTTTACAGGGTTCAGGAATGATTAGCGTTAGCTTAAGGGACCTTCTGGAACAAATAATCACTGAAGATAGTGGATCAGGTGGGTAATCTCTCTCTCCCCATACCTATAATGCCTACCCTCTTGCCAAAAGAAAAAGGGCAAAAGTGATGATAATAATAGGTAAAAAGCAAGATAAAAAGATGGAATTAAGTTGTCCAAATTGTCCGGGAGTGAACACTTTGCTGTTATTCTTTTGCAGGAGTACACGAGTATCCCTTTCTTTATGCACGTATATTTACATCAGTTGCCAAGTTCTCCTCTTTGGTAACTAATATTCTAGTTCCTTATATTTTCTTAAGGTCATTCTCTTAAAGATATCTTAGAAACTCTCGTGCTTACAGATCAGCCGTAATGTTTTTGAGCACTTTCTTGTTGCTGCTATCACAGCAATTGGCATTGATCTGTAAGTGCCCATCTCTCTCTCTCTCCAAACCCCTCCACCCCGACAGCCCAATATTCTTAGATATGTATACATGTATGCATATCAGTATATTTAGGTAAAATGTAATATCATTTTGGGTACATATTTGTTTCTAGTCCCCCTCCGGTGAAGGTAGGTGCCTGCAGGGCACTTTCTCAACTCCTACCTGAAGCAAACAAAGGAATTATACAATCCCAAATGATGAGTTTATTTTCATCACTTACAGATCTGCTTAACCAGGTATTTTATAGTTAGTGAACTCAAGAGCTACAATTGTGTCTGCACATTCTTACTAACTAGCTTCTAAATTCTGCTTCTCAGGCATCAGATGAAACCTTGCTCCTGGTACTTGAAACACTACAAGCAGCAATTAAGGCTGGTGAGTTAAATTTAACATGGTGCGGTCTCATATGACTTATAGCAGTAACCTATTTCTGTGATCTATGTCGCACTAATTGCAGGTCATGAATTATCGGCATCAATAGAGCCTATTATCTCCCCTGTGATCCTTAATATGTGGGTATCACATGTTTCAGACCCTTTTATCAGTATTGACGCAATTGAGGTTCTGGAGGTATAGATACTATTATTTGTTGATCTACCAGTACCTATGGGCAGCATGTTATTGTTTCTTACATTTTCTTTGATCTTTCTCTCTTTTTTCTTGTTTCCTTCCTTTTTTGGTTTGAAATTCCTACCTTGTGACGGCACAGTAGCAAGAATTCTCTACTAGGTATTGACTGTTCTATTTTTTAAGAAAATCATATTTTGACATAGCAAGAAGTCTCTACTAGGTATTGACTATTCTATTTTTTAAGAAAATCATATTTTGACACCAACTATTTTTTTTTTTTTTTTTTTGAAAATAACTCTTTATAACCTTGGACAGGTGATTTTTATTATCAAATTTATTCAATATTTCTCCACATTATAATCTTGGCTTGTGAAGAAAACTAATATTTTTTTTTTATCATCTTTTATACTTGAGAAATTGAAACTTTGGTATGTGCATAAAGTGATTCTATGATTGTTATTGTAATAAATGACTTCTGATTCTATATTTCCCCAGGCACTCAAAAATGCTCCCGGTTGTATACATCCGCTTGTTTCCCGGATTTTACCATACCTTGGGCCAATCTTGAATACAGTATGGATTATTTAGTGATTAAAACATAATGATTTGCATTATACAATAGGTTAGTAGTTTTGGGTATCTGTTTCTGATGCATCTTTTGCCAATTGTCAGCCCAAGCAGCAGCCTGATGGATTAGTAGCTGGGTCAATGGATCTTTTGACAATGTTATTAAAGGCAAGGATGGTTATCTCTCAATTTCATTACAGGCTCACAAGATTCTTTTTTAGACATCATAATTGTAAATGTTGTTACTAATTAAAGTTTTTACAACTTTGTACAGAAATCTCCTACTGATGTTATAAAAGCAGTATATGATGTTTGTTTTGATGCTGTTATTCGAATAATCCTTCAAAGTGATGATCATGGTGAAATGCAGGTAATCTTCTACGACAGAATCGATCTTTATCGCTTTCAATAGTGCCCATATAAAAAAAAGATTGATGTATGTTTTGATGACTTTGACCAGAATGCAACAGAATGTTTAGCAGCTTTGATCTCTGGGGGAAGACAAGATATACTTTCTTGGGGTGACTCTGGATTTTTAATGAGAAGTTTACTTGATGTGGCTTCGAGGTAATAAACAATTAGATGACGGACTTGTGGTCCTTTAGAATCCCTTGATAAGAAAGAACACTATTTGCCTTTCATTTTTCATTTTGGCGTTGGTGTTGAGAATATAGAAATAGGAAGAGAGTAAGCAGAAGTTGTCCAGTTTGGTGAAGTGGATTTATCATTTAGATTTTAAATGGGACAAGTCTTTAAATTGTACAAATGTCTGATATATGATAATGGACATAGAAGCTTGTGTTGGAAGTGCTGATTTCATCAACTTACCAATAGGTGGATTTTGTGAACTTCTATGTCTTTGTCATATGTGGTTTTTGTTTTTAAAGCTCATGTTACTTTGTAAGAATTGAGATGCCGTAGGGAATTTGATTTGTGATTTTTTATTTAGTCTTGTCTTGTTGGGCTTCGTGAGTCCATTGAAAATGGGAGAATGTAGTAAATAGAAGATTTATGAATTTAAATTAAGTAAATAAAAGATTTCAAAACTATATGAAGTAAATAACAGTTTTTCCGTGTAAATTTTCTTTTTACGACTAATGAAAAGATTTTTTTTTCCACGTAAATAAAGATTTTTAGCACATAAATTATTTTTTTACCAGAGTTTTAAAATTTGCTGTTTACTTAATTTTAGTTTCAAAAATCTTCTATTTACTACAATTGCCACTTTTTTTGTTTTTGTTTTTTTGTTTTTTTTTTTATAACAGACCATAAAAACATATTCTCGTTCATGGATTTTCTAATGCTTTGTTGTGCAACTGATTGCAGACTTCTAGATCCTGATTTGGAAAGCTCTGGATCTCTATTTGTTGGGAGCTACATCTTGCAACTTATATTACATTTGCCATCACAAATGCTGCCACATATACGCGACTTGGCTGCTGCTCTTATTAGGCGCATGCAATCCGTTCAAATAGCAGGGTTAAAAAGCTCATTGATAGTCATATTTGCTCGATTGGTATGCCATGTTGTTCGACATTTTGCTATATTCAAACAAATATCCTCCACCTTTATAGCTTATAAGTTCAAACACAATGAAGACATACTGTAATTCACCCTTTTTGCAAAATGCAACTTTGTCAAACATAACGGATATAACCATTAAATTAGAGTATCTACTTTATTATATCTTTTGATGAGACTCTCGGGTCTTAAATCGAAAAGTAACTTTTTAACTTTTCCTCGTCAAAATGGCGTTTGATATAACTAAAAATATGGCTATATTTGTTTTATCTCCTGTCTTTTCGGGTTAGTGGCTTATCAAGCATTTAATCTTCTTGCATTTCTTGGTTTATCTTTAGCTGGTGCATTGAGGATTACACTCACGCTTCGTTATTTCTTTGGATGCTCTATGCTGTGTTTACCCAAAATGCAGGCTCACTTGAGTGCACCAAATGTTGAACAATTTATTGATTTACTGATCAGCATCCCAGCTGAAGGTCATGATAACTCATTTGTTTATTTAATGTCGGAGTGGACTAAGCAGCAAGGTAATTGTTCATGATGTTACTGTTAATTATTGGCAAGTCCAATTTAAATATAAGAGACACAATTCTTGTTTTCCAAACCACTTAGCTGGCTTGAGTTCAAAACTGGAGCCCTGCTCCTATAATTCATTTTGTCAGCTGCGTTCCATTACCAAAGACTAGTTAAATGCCATGTGAAATAAAATGTGCATTTATTTATTTTCCACGTGTTAATTGAGTGCAGGAGAGATTCATGGGGCTTACCAAATTAAAGTGACTACTAGTGCTTTGGCTTTATTGCTATCCACGAGGCATGCTGAACTAGCAAAAATTAATGTTCTGGGAAACATAATTAAGGTATTCTTTCAAAACAAAAAAAAAAAGAAAAAGTCTCTTTTAACCTTAGTCGTTAATGGTAATTATATTTTTGTTTACTGTTTCAAGAACCTTATTCCTCTTTTTGTAAAGGCTGCTGCAGGGATAACTACTCGCTCTAAAGCTAAATTGGCACCAGATCAGTGGACGGTTATCCCACTTCCGGCAAAGGTACTCTCTGGTTCTGTCCACCGTGTTACTAACTACTGTATAGTGGGGTGATAATACTTGTACACTAAGGTCAATAGTTCTTAGAGTAACCAAAGCATATTATTAAATGAGTAATGCTTTTATTAGTTCCCTATCCTTGTAGTCCCATGAAAACGGTGTGAGTTTTAATGAAGCGTGTTTCCATTTCCCCCTGGATGTTGCAGATACTGGCTTTGTTGGCAGATGCGTTGGTTGAAATCCAAGAACAGGTCTTGGCTGATGATGATGAGGTGGTTATTAGTTTAGCCTTTTGTCATGTTTGTGTTATTACAGGCAAGTAATGACATTAATTGAAGCGCTTCGATAATTCATGTTGCAGGACAGTGACTGGGAAGAAGTTCAGGCCGAGGATGTCGAAGCTGAAAAAGACTTGTTGTATTCAGTAGGGGTGACATCATCTGGCAGACCTACGCACGAACACCTTGAAGCGATGGCTAAAGTCTTTGATGAGGTTCTCTTTCTTCTGAAATATTTATGAATTTCATATCTATTCTTGTCATTTTTTGGGGATTGCTCATCAAGCTTGCTTAATATTTTTGTAGGATCAAGAAGATGGTTATGAAGATGACCTATTAAGTGCATCCGATCCTCTTAATCAGGTTTTATATAGATCCTTTATTTATAAAGTTTCTGCATGGATTCAATTATTCTATTTTTACCAACTTATCCATTTGCATATTTCAGATAAATCTTGCAAACTATCTTGCGGATTTCTTCTTAAAATTTTCTCAGTGCGATGGACAACTGCTTGATCAACTATGTCAGGTGATTTTTTAACTCTTTCATAATTGTTTGAAACGTTCCATCAACATTTGAATTTCAGTTTTCCTAATGTTCGGACTCTAAACATGATTGCTGAATAAATGAATAAATATATGAACAAGTAATTCACTTTTATTTCTTTTGAAACTGCAGAGCCTGACTCAGACTCAGCGGATTGCTATTCAAATGGTTCTGAGGCGCTGAGTTTGTGTATTATATTATTATTATTTTTTGGCTGTGGGGACTTTACATTGTGTATTATTTGTAATTCAATTAATTGTTTGTAAATGTTGTTAAAATGCGAGTAGTTGAGTCAGACTTGGTCGGCGTGTCGTCAATGATCGGGAATAAGTCGTAAGATAAGATTGATCTTTTTTTTTTTTTTGATAATTAAGATCGATCGTTTTTCATAAATATACACATAAAAAAATAGAAATGTCAAATAATTAGCAGCGTTGTCAGTTCAACCAAAATATCAATTCTAATAAACGCTACAATTCCTAAACAATGGGATGAACATTGACTTTATCTGAAAAAGTCAACACAGCCACGCCGATGTAGTGCAGAAAAGCTTTGCCTTTATTGCACGTTGGGACCAACTCTGAAGGCTTGCATTGGGATCATCACTAGGCTGAATAATGTAATACTGCGATTTCTGGGGTCTTTTATGGTGTTCTGAAGGTTCACGATGATACCAGATTTGGGTTAAAAAAAAATACAGCTCTCCAAATGAAAACGGGCAATGATTCAAGCTCTTTTTAAGCTTTTAGAGGGGCGTTTATTTTATTTTATTTTTTTCTTTTGGTAATAACTCGATCTAGAAATTATTGTTCCTATTAGGTTTGTAGCTCCTAGTTCGTTAGAGCAATCACTAATAAATGGTTTGTCATTATGCTCAAACGGATTTACACCTGCCAAAGGCCAATCTGATGTTCTCCATTATCAATATATATATATATTTTTTTTTTTTTTGAGGAAACCATTATCCACAAATTGCATTACATTTTTTTTTTCAAGAAAAATAATTCCATTACATTTTGATCCATTATTAATTTGTCATAGTTGGGTAGATTAATTAATTCCCATGATCAGATGTCGACAAAGCACGTGTAGGCACAGACAGCTAGAATATTACGTAAAGAAAAACTCTATTTGAAACAAAAGCTGAATTCAATAAGAATATCGAGTCTTAATTATTGAAGCTGGAAACGGAAATTGTAGTAAATACTAATTTTACAAAACTGAAGTAAGTAAATAACAAGATTTTAAAGTATTTGATATAAATAGCAAATTTACTAGATAAATAATGTATTTATTAGTAAAAATTACTGCTATTCACTTCAAATATTTTTAAAATTTACTTTTTTTAATTCAATTATTTACTGTAAAAATATTATTGACTCCTTTCTACCGTGCTAATTAATAGTGGGCGAAGATCAAGTAGTGTGTACTTTTCAAAGTTCTCATTTTGTTTATGCATTTAGAGCACTTTTGGAGTCCTCAAGTCAACACATTCTTCAATGTTGATAATTATTTTGAACTCCTGAAAATCATATGCTATATATAATGTCAGCGTTTATAGGCCCATAAATGAAGTTACTATTTTACGTTTGAATTGAACGCTCCTTTTGCAACTTGCTATTGCAGACAAGGCCACCACGATTAATATATATATATATATATATATATATATATATATATCTATAATATCTAAAGTTTTACGAGCTTATCCATTCAAAATTACCAATTAGTTCGTAGGAGACAAGTTTATGCAACTGTTTATCGATTACATTTCGAGCTATAGGATTTCAAACTACGAATCTCGGATTGGAAATCAATGCAGTTACCATTTAATTTTGTCCCCCTAAGCTATATTCACCTTTGTAAAAAAAATAAAATGTATGATTTTTTTTTTTTTTGCTATGAATAAAATGTATGGATTAGTTCATAGAAATCATATTTTTGAGAAATTTGGGTCGATGATTCTTCTTAAAACTTTTTTTAAGTAAATGACACTAGTGCTATTAAATTAAAAAAAATTAAAAATTGACTTTGGTAATTATTGATTGGTTTTGCTGAATCAGATTGTTGAGAGGTGATCATTTTTATGACGGGAAGAAAAGGCCCCCCGTGAAAGCAGGCTGACGGGGAAGAATAGCCCGAACACCTGGTCTGAACATGCCGACGGAGAAGAACAACCCAAATAGGCTGAGCACCTAATCTGAACAGGCCAAATAGGCCGACAGGAAAGAACAGCCCGAACAGGCCGAGCACTTGATCTGAGCAGGCTGATAGAAAAGAATAGCCCGAACAGGCCGAGCATCTGGTTCGAACAGGCCGAATAGGTCGTACAATCAACATGCCTAGCACTAGGGAAGAACAAGCCGAAGAGGTCTACCTGGTCGAGCATGCCGAACAATCTGAACAGGCCGACCAAGGTGAGCACTTAGTCCGAACAGGCCGAGCACTTGATCTGAGCCGACCGAGCATGTGGTCCGAGCACTAATCGACACCGACTGATGGAACAAGACCTTCACTCCGAGAGCATCTCCTCTTTCGTTGCAGGTCAGAATAGTGCTAGGGATCCCTTTCGAATAGTGCTAGGGATTTGTCCTGACTCCTGAATAGTGCTAGAACCTGAGCAGAATAGTGCTAGGTATACGTCACTAGCACTGCTAGGGATCCGTTCTGAACAGTGATATGGAATTGACAAGAAGAGGCAGATAATAGAGTCTGGTCACCGTGCGCTTCTGCACGCAGTGTTGTGCTGAATTTCGACATCAACACAGACAAACAATTGATTTACCAATGTATGTCTAATTGCTCAATCCCAATTATGTAAATTATTGATTGTTGAATTTAAAATAAAGGATTATTATCACTAGTACCCTTTGAACTTTAAGGTCATTCTCAATTTGTCCCCTAAACTTTAAAAACTCTCATTTTGCCCCATAAACTTGAAATTATTCTCACTTAAACCCTTATGTTGCAATTTCTGTTAAAATCATATAGGAAAAAAAGGAGGTTCAGTGTTGCCATGTGGTTCTTATATATTTGTTTCTAACAGAAATTCAAACACAAATACTACGCGATTGCATTACTCTCTTTTTTCTATTAATTTTTAACAGAAATAACAACAAAAGAAGTTAAGTGGGAATAATTCGAAGTTCAAGGGGGTAAAGCGAGAAATTTTAAAGTTTAAGAAATAAACTGAAAATGACTCTAAAGTTTAAACACACTAGTGATAATATGCTAATTTTTAAATATTTTTCTTTTTTTTTTCGATCTTCCCGAAGTTGTTGGCATACACCATGGTCTCCACAGCAGGGTGACAACTGACAACAACAGTGCGAGGCTAGGGGCGTCAACTGAGAAGAGAGAGAAGAGAAAGACCCTTTTGCGCATATTGACATTTAAAATCAATTCCTTAACTTTACAGTGTAGAATAATAATAAAAAAAAGGAGGAATTATGAGTTGATAAATGAAGGGATTTTGGCGCTTTTGCAGTATGAACTTCTAGTGTATCAGAAAGGTCCTCATTTAACTTTTAATGTAAGTAAATTACTTCGTGAATTCAACAAAATATTGTGTCGTGCCACAAATTTGATTGAGGATATATGTCAAAACTTAAAAAGCCTCATGCATGACATAATGTGTTCTATCTGTTGTTATTCAAAATTTCACTCCGCCTTCAAACGAACTCACATAAAATGTGGGAGAATATTTTTGTTCAAACTTTAATAGTCGCCCTAAATTTAGGGGCATTCTACAATAGGTTATTCAATTCATGGGTTAATTTATCATTAATTAAAATTTAGATGACAATTTGCCAAAATCATTATAAGGTCAGGAGGTATCCAGTACCCTAATTTAAAATTCTGTAAGCCAATTAAGAAGAAAAGTTGATTGAGTACTGAAAAATATTTGGATCCTCCAATTTGGAGAGATTAATTTATTTCCTAACATTTTTCCCCCCTCCATAACCATAGAACGATTGATAAAAGATTACAAAACTTATTCAGATTAACAAAAAAAAAAAAAAAAATGCACCATACTTCTTTAAGTATAAATTTTACACTACATACGGTAGTAAATTAAAATCTAGTAATATTTCACATCGTCGCCTAGAGTTTTCACTCTCCTCGTTACTCCTATTTTTACATGATCACTCTCCTACCAAACATACTATACATATTTCATGTTGCACATATATACGACACCATTCGCTTCATATATATATATATATATATATATATATATATATTTTACATGATTGCTTTGCACGTACGTGATTAATCCATGATGTGTGCGATTGATTACTCATCGGAGCCACCACGAATCAAGGTCATCATCCTCTGAATCGAAAAAACAAAACTTGAAGAAAAGAACTTCCCTTTCAATTTCTTCTTCAGTAGTATTTCTCATAGGCGGGGCTAGAGAGCCACGGCAAAGAGGACATGTCATGTGCTTGAGCCGAACCCATCTTTCTAAGCAAAGTTTGTGAAAGACGTGAAAACATCTCAGCTCTCCAATCTCTTCTCCTTCTTCTACCTGATCGAGGCACACCGCGCAGTGCTCCGATCCTCCTTCCTTGTCGTGCTCGTGCCGGGTTATTTGGAGCGCTTGTTCGGAGATCTGTGGGATCTTCAGAACGTCATAAAGGAGAGGCACAAGTAAAGAGTAGTGGTTACAGAGGAGGAGGACGTCAAATGAGCATTTGAGATTTGTTAGGATTAGAACCACGTAATACCATATGGTTGAGGGAAGAGTAGTGAGCTTGAGAAAGATTGTCAAGAGATAATCAAGGGAAAAACATGATGATGTTGGAGTAGAGAAGATTTGTGATGGATTCATATTGGATTAGTTGGTTTATTTGTTGGTGTTATGGGGAGGCAAATGTGACAGTGATGAGCTATATAATCCTCTATAGACTTGTTGGGGGTGGGAAGGAAGTCATAAATTGATCAAGCCAAAAATGGCAAATATCACTTTTTAATATTATATTTTCATCCTAGTGGGTCAGTAGGGGAGTTATATATAATTAACTCAACTCATTTCAATAGTCAACTAGTGACAACTTGGAAAAAGAAAAGAAGAAAGTAAACCAATAGTTATTTAAAAATATTTAACGCAACTTTAAGTAGAAAGCACAACATTTTTATAGAATAATTATGCCCATCTCCTTATTTTACTGTCCACATGTTGATTTTCCCACAATATAATATCTTAACATCCAACTTTTGACCAAATATTTAACCAAAAAACTTATGACCAAGCGTCCATATAGTTTCTCTTTCATATATTGATAAGCGTACCAACACTGTGAAATGTGAATGACTATAAAATGGTGATATATATCTGTGTAATATAATATCTTAATATCCAATTTTTGACCAAAGATTTAACCAAAAAAACTTATGACCAAAGCGTCCTTGTAGTTTCTCTTTCCTTTATTTATTGATTATTAACTATTTATAAGAGTATCAATTCGGTGGATGAGTAAAAGGTGATGTATATCTGTTAATTCTTTCCTTTTTGCACCTCTGTAGTTTTTTTATTTTTAGTTTTAACTTATTATTTAACTTATTATTAATTTATTAGGATATATAGCCTAATTTTTAATTTATTATATATATAAAGTCTTTAATGGCATACAGTCGTAACTTTTTTTATATGCTCATATAACATCGTTCATACGTGTATATAATACTCAATTTGTTAAGTGTCAATATAATATGTGTTGGACAATATTTATTGAATATTACATTAAAGTACATTGAGTTTTATACGATTGTACAAACGATGTAATAAAGGTATATATAAAAAAAAGATATTACACCTGGCTAACTAGTCTGTGTGTCTTGAATTTAAGACGATTCCTTTATATATATATATATATATATATATATATATATATAATTTTTTTTTATGAGCA